TTAGACAACATAAACGATATTTACCTGCCCCTCCACGAGGTAGGGATGCAGCACATTTTTAAAAAAATTTAATGTGGGGTAATCCGAACCCAAGGGCTCAAAAAATTGCCCGTAGAATAAAATACATGGGATCGAGTATCTGTCTAACTGCCAGACGAGACTCTACTCTTCGGCACAGCCTCGGCCGGGATCCTCTCTACCCGATGTCAGAGACTTCCCATGCTGACAGGAAAATATCCAGGAAACAAAGAAAATTGCCCTTTTGCTTTACAATTGTCTAACGTATTTTATGAGGATTAGGACATACACATCGGTGTTAATAGGTACAGTATATAACAGTGTTCTTCCTCGGCAAAGACTTGGCCACCTGATACCAAATGGCGAAAAGTTTTATTAAATTAATGGCATAAATAATAGGCGGTATTTGAGCCATCCTTTCTGAGTTTAGCCTCGTATGGATTAGTTGAGACATTCGTCTTGTTTTCGTTTATACGTCAAGCAGTTTGGCATAAAAGTACCTTGCAACCTGCAATGCAGTAATCTCTTCCACTACTATCATGCTTCATATCCATTCAGTACGTTTTCTCCGTACAATGTCCTGTGCTTTTTATATCCTAATTAATTTTGTCATATTGCTATCTCTCTTAGACCCTGTTCTGCCAACCATTTGAAAAAAAGGTCGTCATGTATATTAGGGACTGCTTTCATCTCTCTCTTTTGCCTTCAATATGTATGACGAGTTACAAAATTTCCAAACAAGTCTTTATCATTATATACCATAGAAATTATAACTGCCTCTTTCTGATTATTAGTACAATTATCCTATTTTTCCATTAAAAAAAAAAAAAAAACTTTTTGTGGCTGTTAGCATGGGATTCTCATTATCCTTCGTCTTCATCGGTGAGGGAATTATCAAGGCATTCACTGTCATGTAGGAAAATTAACATTACACAATTGTTCAGTCTTCTTTTCTTTGTTTTTAAAGAAATTTTCCTCCTGTTCCTTAGTGTGTTGCTTAACCGTAGGAAGACATTTTTCGCTATTTAATGCGCCTTGGGACTTAGGCCTCGCACATTTCGAGTTTTGATATAAAAACAAAATTAATGGAAACATAAGTTTTGCATTTGCTCGTTTTTGTTATCCCCAATTTGTAATTTGCTTTGTTGGGCTGTTCTTTTTGCTGACAACCATATATTCTGTCCTCTTGCAATTGATAATTCGTTCTTTCTTCTCGCTTTCTATTACTATACTATGAATTTATTAGAGTTTCCTTCCTGTATCTGTAATCAGCACTGTTTCATCTGCATATCTTATTTTGTTAAGATGGTGGCGCCAACAATGTATCCTATGAAGACTACTATTTCTTTCACAATCGTTTGAATATGCTTGGTGGGGAGACATACCCTTGTCCTACTTTGTACATTCACTGAACTCATTTTCTATACGTATGGAGCAGATTTGCTCCATATATAGCTGTTGGTTTTTTCTAATATAATTCCAATTATGTCAGTTATCTAACAATTCCAAAAGTCTTTTTGACTTACTTTATAGAACACTTTATAAACATAGGTATACATAATTTTATGAAATGGACAAAGTCCGACAATTATTATTAAAGAACGTATAATCATACAAATGTCTTAAAATACATCATTTTACATTTGTAGTTCTTTCTGATATCATTCTGAGCATAAATACCGATTTCCTTCTTTGAGTTTCTTTAAAGAAAACCGCATTGTTCTTGTATAATTTGCGATTTAATTCTGCTACGCGCTCTATTAATCACAGTGTGGATGTTATTGTTCATTAGGCGTATTATTCCTTGGTTTTTAAGCCATTGCTATGTAAGAGAATCAACATAGAACTTCCGGTATATCATCACTGTTGTATAGTTCATTTATTATACCTCTTTCCTTTTCAATGCTGAAATCGTCTAAAGATGCAAGCATCTCTATCACAGGCCATCTGATACCGTCACTTTACTTCTGTAGGCCATTCTTTTTATTTCTCAAATAATTCGAAAATTTAATATGGCTGCCATGCATGGCGCCAAACTCGTTCAGTAATATGTGAATTGCAATATGTGTAGAAACAATGGCTCAAATCAATAGCTGAAAATATCTTCGAGCGAATGATGCCTCTAGGTCTCATCGATGACCTTCCTTCCTTCGCATCTTTTGAACTGGAATTAGAGAATCGTAAACAAAGATAACGATCAAGTAACAGAAACCACATCACTTGAGGATTTTCAACAACTAAAAAGGACAGCACATGTAACTCGAGGATAAAATAATAGCAGAAACAAGATGTCCACATTCCACACGACAGGAAAATGTTAAGAAAACCCCCATCAGTACCAGTAAGATCAAGATTTAGCGGATTTAAGAAACGTGTTCACCTCCAAAAATTATTTTAAGGCAATGATTTAAAAAACATATTAACCGGAAGTAGCACTAGCTCTCTGATTAATAAATCTGAATTGTTTTGTTATAAAGAAACTGTTTTAAAGATCATCACCAGTGAGTGGTTTTATGAATTCAGGTAACACATATACATTTGTTTTAGCTATACTTTGAGACAAATCTTTGTGTATATACCATATCATTGCCGTCTGAAATTCGTTAACAATATCTCTAGCGGTTATGCTTTTAGCTATACTTTGTTGTGGTCAGCAATAAAGACACAAAAAGAGGAAATGAGTTAAACAATTATATTAAGAGAAACAGTAATAGAAACATATACAAACGAGTGTTACAGCAAAAATGTTCGCTCCGACTGTCAAAGGTGACTGCTGGAAACTTCCCACTCCAACAAAGCAGTACCTGTTCCTATTTATATCTGGGAAGGTCCATACGTGCGTGGGTAAATTACCATAATAGATAGATAGTGATCAGTCAGAGATAGATAGCGTTTTAGCCTTGTTAGGGCCAAAAATAAAGACACACATAGAGAAATTGAGTTAAACAAATATATTAACAGAAACAGTAATACAAGCATATACAAACGAAAATGTTACAGGAGGAATATTCGGTCCGACTCTCAAAGCTGACTGTTGGAAATTTCCTCTCTAAAAAGGCAGTATCTGATCCTATTTATAGCTAGTAGAGTTCATGCGTGCGGGAGTAAATTGCCATAACAACTTTAAGACCCTTTTTTTGTGTATATAGCATTTCATTGCCTTCCGAAATTCTTTAGCAATATCCCTAGCGGTTCATTTACGTTAAACACTACATTTGAAAACAATACAGCCATGATCACTTAATGAATGATACAATTTCGACTCTAACTCTGCATAATCTAAATTTTCCATTTTAAGGTCCTTCCGAGTTTCATCTTAAAATGCGTTGATAATTAAATCACATGTTTTGTCATTAAAAATCATTGTTCATTCTTCAGTTTTTTTTTTCTTGCGCATCCATGTCCTTACATATATTATGACTAACAATATGAATATAGTTGATAAATTACAGAGAATAAAAGAAAGGGTTCTGTTACATTTTACAGTCAATTATACTTTTTTTTATTTTTTTGTTTTTGCTAAAATTATTAGGAAAATAAACAGACGTATATTATATTTTTTCTTTTATCTATTTTTTTTTTTTTTTATAATAATGTCCTATCTTCTTAGATAACGTACTGAAATCAGAAAAGCTACTACCGTATCTCCAGGTGGCGAGGAATAACAACTTCCTAACGGACTAATCTCACGGATCGAACGTCTTTTATTAATTTCGTCGAAAATAATATAATTAGAGCAATGTAAAATAGGTGAAAACAAATCAAATTAGCGGAATAGTAAGTGAGAAAGAGAGATATGGGAAGTGAACTGTATATCGAAACGTTTAGAAGCTAAACAATGCGATATTAAATGACATCTTCAGATCAGTAACAGTCGGAAACATTTAAAATATATTAAAAATAAATGATGAATGTACATTAGTATAAATTATCAAAAATAAAGTGTTCAAAAGCAGATAAGGATTACCTATTCACAGGTATAGTAAATACACACACACACACATATATATATATATATATATATATAGTGCCCATATCTATCAAGCAATGTATACATTGTCACTTGAACTTTATATATATTTCCTAAGATTTCATATATTTATCGATCAATATATGCATTCTGTTTTATATATATATATATGGCCATATCCATCAATCTATACATTGTCTCTTTCACTTATACAAAACTTAAACCGATTTTAAATGAGAAGAAAGGTTAACATCGGTTAAATTTATCGGAACAATCTCTATTTTCTAAGTCATGTGTTTATTGATCAATATATGGTTTCTGTCCCTTTCATATATATATATAAAGAAAAAATATATACGGAAATATATATATATATATATATATATATATATATATATATATATATATATAAATAAAAATATAAAGAAAAAATATATACGAAAAATATATATATATATATATATATATATAATGTGTGAATTTAGGCAACAATTGTTTTTAGGGCGAAAATTATTAAGAACAGACATTTTGTGACAATTACTTTTAATGTTCTACTTTTACAAAGCGTGATATATATATATATATATATTTATTTCAGGATGCGGGTATCAAGTTATTGGGTATAACTATCAAATATATATATAGAGAGAGAGAGAAAGACAGACAGAGATATCCCTATCGATCTATGTTCTGTCTATTAAGTTATCTCTCTCCAAAGATGTGAGTGTGTGGAATTTATTTATATTTTAACGTCTGTCCGGTTTGATTTTGTGACAATTACATTTAATGATCTACTTTTACAAAGCGTGATATATATATATATATATATATATATATATATATATACACACACATTTCAGGATGCGGGTATCAAGTTATAGTTATTGAGTATAACTATCAAAAATATATATAGAGAGAGACAGACATACAGATAGTCCTATCGGTCTATGATCTGTCTATTAAGTTATATCTCTCGAAAGATGTGAGTGTGCGGAATTTTGATATTTATATTTTAATGTGCATGCGGTTTGATCTTGCCGTAAGGAAAAACCATAAACACAGAGGAAAACATACTGATAAATATGTGTGTGTGTGAGACAGAGAAAGAGCCACATAGATAGCTTATATCTGCCGTCCCTGAGACCCAAGGAGAAAAGTTATAAATTTATAATGGAGACACACCTGCAGGAGCGCAGGTAATTGTGTGGTTGTGTGTGTGTGTTTAACATTTATGATATCATATATAAATATAATGAGTGCAAGAGTAACAATTGCAATAAACCAGTACAATATATTATTAAAACAAAATATCCTATTAGAAACATTACAAAATATGTTTGTATACATAGCATCTGAAATGTTTCCCCAGAGTCTTGCGTTCAATTATTTATGAAGAGAATGAAACATTCTGGTATTTCCTTCATATAAATTAATACCACCTGTGACAATTTCTCGGTTTTCCTATTTGGATTTTCTAACGTATCTTAATATTTAAAGAATAAATACGCACATTGTGAGTTCCACGACGACAAAATACCCAGTATTCCGCACAATTTAAATGCTTGGTTTGGTTTATTTTGATTTACGGCATATCGGACTCAGTTTGTTCTTTAATGCCAACAGTATCTTAGAATAGGTTCCTATGAATAGAATATGTATTGTTTTATAATGATTTACGGCATATCAACCACAATGGGTTATTTATCGCCGACAATATTTTTAGGATAAATTAGTATGAATGGAATATGTATGCTTTGGTTTAGTTTTAATTTACGGTATATAAACCTGAATAGGATTTTTAATGCCGTTATGTTTTTAGGATAGGTCCGTATGAGTGGAATATATATTCATTTGTTTATTTCGATTTGCGGCATATCAACCTCAATGGGTTATTTAATGTCGTCAGTATTTTTTATGAAATGATCGGAGGAATGGAATATGTATACTTTGGTTTAGTTTGGTTTATTTTGAATTACGGTATATCAACCTCAATGGGTTATTTAATGCCGTCAATATTTTTAGGATAGAATCGTGTGAATGGAATATGTATTCCTTTAATTAATCTGTTTAAGGAGATAAGATATCAATGACGAATTTTTTAAAGAGTTTTGTCGAGTATCAAAAATTACTGCTTGATTTTTTTTTTTTTTAATATATTGTTGGTAATATTTGCTTTAAAAATTTTTTGCTAGTATGTTTACTATAAAAGTCCACGTTTTGTACTTTCATAATGTTATGACTCCATCTTTGGGGTTAATTATTTGTCCATATCTGGGACCGTAACAGTTGATACCCCGCCGTAACTATTTTTAATGGGAAGTAAAAATAGACATGTAATTCCTAAATGAATTAACTCATAAAATAATTTTATTTGTTTGGTTTATTTTGATTTACGGCATTACAACCTCAATGGATTATTTAATGCCGACATTATTTTTTAGTATATATTCATATGACGATATATCCTTTGAAAGAAATCAGTTTGTAGATCAGGTTTTGTTCACGTATTATTCTTAAGATGTTTTTTTAGTGTCAAATAAATTGTTGGCTATTTTCTTTTTAAATGACTTACTGTTAATTTTTTTTTAATTTTTTACTGGTATTTTTACTGTAAAAATGTATTTTCTTACTTTCATAGTAATTTGACCCCAGATTAGGGCTTAACTACTTGCCATAGCTGGGAAACTAACAAGTGCTATCACCCCGAGTAAGTGTAAACCTGAGGACAACAGCAACTGTGATTCCACGCTCCTCAAAAACTCCTGATCAGAGGCCTTGCTGCCGGAAGTAGTTTATCGTCATACCCAAGGCAAATTTAAATAATTGAGCTTAAGAATTTTAACAAAATATTACAATGAAAATCAATATATTTTTGTATTTTCATTGAAGCATAAGCACATAGACACAGTGTAATGATTTACAAGCTTTTCTTGCTAGATCTATTACGACTGAATAGCGAGTTTGATCCTCGCTAGGATCGGCGCTCATTCATCCTAAAATATCTTTGTAAGCATAGCCTCTGAAATGTATCACATTCGTATTGTGCTCAAGCATTTATGAAGAAAATAAAACGTTCCGATATTTCATTTGGTGTTAACTAATTCCTGGTAACTGAATAGTGAGTTTGCTCCTCACTAGGAGCTACGTACATTTGGCATTGTCGTACTGCTAAGCTATATTTAGTAAATCCCTATTTCTTTGAAGTATACATTGGACACATGAAAGCGCTGTCATCTCCTCTAAAATCTCTATATATTTTCTTTCGAACTGAAGCCAAAATTCTTTGTCATGTCATTCACGTCTTCCCTCAAGATCAGAACAAACTTATGGAAACAACACGGTGAGACACCGATTCGCGTACGACATTCGAAGTTAAGCAAGCCTGGTCAGTACTTAGTGAGAGCCCGGTTGGTATGTTTCGTTTTACGGCATATCAGCCTCAACGGGTTATTTAATGACAACAAGATTTTTATTGCTGGGATTTTTTTTCTAGGTGGTTGGAATTTCGAACTGAACCCTTTATTTCGCTCACTGGGGTAGACTGTTCTAGTTCCACGTGCCACGTTTAATGGATGTCAGTTATCAGTTATCTCTTGCTAATTTCCCTATGTAAGTTCTCCATTACTTTAACCGGGTATTGAACTCACACTCTGAGTACTGTCACTGGATCTAACCAGCGCCTTTATCAAATTCCAACCACCCGAAGAAGGCCGGAGCGTACAACGGCCGAAACGTTGTGATAAATATGGCGACAAAGATGAGGACATTAGTGCGAATAATGTAAATAATGTAAACATGAATAAATTAAAATAAATACGTAGGGAGATAAAAGGGCTGAAAGACAGATATGAACTGGGTGAGATAAATATGAATAAATTAAAATAAATACGTAGGGAGATAAAAGGGCTGAAAGACAGATATGAACTGGGTGAGATTAATATGAATAAATTAAAATAAATACGTAGGGAGAGAAAAGGGCTGAAAGACAGATATGAACTGGGTGAGATAAATATGAATAAATTAAAATAAATACGTAGGGAGATAAAAGGGCTGAAAGACATATGAACTGGGTGAGATAAATATGAATAAATTAAAATAAATACGTAGGGAGATAAAAGGGCTGAAATAAAAATATGAACTGGGTGAGATAAAATGAATGAAAATAAATACGTAGGGAGAAAGACAATATGAATGAGATAAATTGAATAAATTAAAATAAATACGTAGGGAGATAAAAAGGGCTGAAAACTGGGTGAGATAAATATGAATAAATTAAAATAAATACGAGGGAGATATGAATAAATAAAAATAAATACGAGATTAATATGAATAAATTAAATAAATACGGGCTGATAAAAAGGGCTGAAGATATGATACTGGGTGAGATAAATATGAATAAATTAAAATAAATACGTAGGGAGATAAAAGGGCTGAAAGACATATGAACTGGGTGAGATAAATATGAATAAATTAAAATAAATACGTAGGGAGATAAAAGGGCTGAAAGACATATGAACTGGGTGAGATAAATATGAATAAATTAAAATAAATACGTAGGGAGATAAAAGGGCTGAAAGACATATGAACTGGGTGAGATAAATATGAATAAATTAAAATAAATACGTAGGGAGATAAAAGAGCTGAAATAAATATATGAGCAGGGTGAGATAAATATGAATAAAGGTAGACAGATACATAAATATATGGACTGAAAAAAAGATATATAAACAGGGTGAGATAAATATGAATAAATTTACATAGATTAACAAACCGATATAGATATAAAATGGTAGAGAGAACAAGAGAGAAATCAAAACGCTGAGATATATAGTGTGTAAATAAAAATTCTCAAATAGTGTAAAAGTAAAATAATTGTTAGATTAAGCTCTGAACCGTTGTATCTTAAAAATGATTAAAGATATCTTACTGGAGTTCTCAGAGGTTTTTATAACATTGTTGGACTCTACTTCCAGCAGTAAGAATGAATAATTAATCTCCAAGTTTATCAAAGAATCATGATAAAATCGATCATAAACAAAAATGACGTCTATCGTTAATTAATAATAGCTAAGGATAGGAACCTCATAAACGTTCAGATATATATATATATATATATATATATATATATATATATATATATATATATAAAAAAAATTAAAAAAAAGTATAGGTAAATTATCCGTTATTTTGTAGTTTTGTTTTTATTTTTAAAAGAGAGTGCTCCATACAGAAGTAGAGCTTAAATTATAATTATTTAAAAAAAACAAAAATTGATTCCTTCGCTACATAAGAGTTCTCAGGTTTCAAAAAAGAGAGCCGAAAACCTCAATATAATTATTAAAATTAAATTGAGTTAAAATATCAATATAAAGTATATATGTCGTTAAGTGTCTAGCGAATTTTGTTTTATTTTATTTATTCATTTATTCTTTTATTTTTATTTTCTTATTTTTTATTTAAAGTGCTGTTTCGTACTTAAACGTGTCGCACGGAACTATTTTTTTTTTTTTTTGACGACTTCATAAAGTGTTTTTTCTATCTTATGATTGGGTTAAGCTTTTAAACCTTTTATTAGAATATGAAATTTAAATTTTTTATGCTAATTATTTAATGCGAAAATGTGTTGATGTCGGTAGAAAACCTTTAACTCAGGTCTATGGTTTAATAAAATTTTCATCATTTAGAAACTTCATAGTGTGTAGTTTTTCATGTAGGCATAAAGGTGCACACCGTGAAATAGACATTAAGGATATCGGTCTATACAGAGACGACGGGCTCATGGTAGTGAGGAGCTCCACAAATTTTAAAATAGATAAAATTAGAAAGATACTATATAGTAAATTCAGAAAACTAAACATAAAAACCACGGTCAGTACTAAATTAAAAAGTGTAAACTTCATCGACGTAACTCTAGACTTAATGAACAACATATACCTACTTTACAGAAAACCTAACACTAATACCTTGTATGTACACCCTAAGTAAAACCACCCTCCATCTATAATCAAACTATTCATAGCTGTCTATCTACCCAGACTCGTTTTCTTTACCAAAGCTTTTATTTATTGATGATTTTTCTTCCGTGTACCTCAGTTTCTTTACATGCACCTGCCTACATACATATTCAGATCAGGAATAAAAGAAACTCTGCAATAGACAACATACTGTCGACTATATATATATATATATATATATATATATATACTCCTGAAAAATTTATTTCGATTGAGCTCTTTCGGCAGGAAGTGAGAATTCCTAAACAGTGACTATTACTGCTAATAATGCAAGACTCTTTGGTAAAGCAACTCGAGTTCTCTCAGTCACTGTGTGTTTATCTGCAAATAAATACGCTGAAAAATTCATTTTTGCCGTGCGTCAAAAGCTTAGGGGTAGAATATCTGACTCACGCCAATTCAGCCGGGCCTCTATACTTGCCAGAGGCAATCAGATATCTAGGCACACTGATAAGATGAGACACAGCGAAACAGTCTGTCTTTGGATGTCATACACACACACACACACATATATATATATATATATATATATATATATATATATATATATAATGAAATGGACAAAGTCCGACAATTATTTTATGACATTGTTTATAAAGAACGTAAACATAAAAAAAAATGTCTTTATACATACATTATATATATATATATATATATATATATATATATATATATATATATATATATACACACTGTCTCGGAAAATCTTCCGTTTCTTGATTTACTAATGGTCAAATCAATCTCGAAGGAAAAAAAGGTTTTAAAAAAGGAAAGGGCTATGAATATGAACGTCTATTGAAAATTTCGACAGCATACAGGTCCAAAGCCCAAAGAAAAAAAAAACGATACGAGTAATCCGCTTACGTGAAACTTGGTAGGTTTGTCTGGCTCTCTAGATTTAACTATATATATATATATATATATATATATATATATATATATATATATAATCTGAATAATTTGTGTAACGGTAACATCCTTAAACTGTGTGTTCTCTTCTCTAATTGCCAGGGTGAGTGTATATGATAATTCTTTGGTATTTGCGCTTTCACAGCCACATACCTAATCTCATGTAGCTATATAAAATATGGCCAAAAGAGCAGACCACCTACCAGTTCTCAGCACTGACAATCCACAGCCATTGATCGATTGGCGATTTGACATTAGGTGACGCTGTGCACGGATTTGACTGCGTTATCGAAGATGCCAACGTGACAACTGACAAAATAGAGGTAATAGCAAAAACGTTGCTATTATGATATTCGCATGCCAAAATACGGAAAACAAGATCAAGAACGGTAACTCTTCACTCATGTACGACATGAGGGCGGGCTGCGAAGAGACGCTTTCGCCAATCAAGTCAAATCGAGTCGAGGAAGAAATTGATTTTGAAATCTCAGAGTGTAACTGAAAGAAAAGAACAAGTTGAGAGGAAAGAATCATAGGTTGCGTTATTCTGAAACATCATATCGTAAATAGCATGCTTATTATTTAAATGTATGTCTTTACTACAAAATAGTTTCTTTAGCCCATCTGTATATTTCTTTATTTTCTTCTCCTATGGGACTGATGGTGATGACGATGATGTGAACGGGAGGAAATGTTCAGAAAGGTTATATACAATATTGGCGTTAACTTGAGAAACGGGGGCACTAAAGTCAATATTTAAATTCTTACAAATCTTATCTCTGCGATGACACGTGGCCTAGTGGATAAGGACGTTGGTTAGGTTCAGTGACTAAACACAGACTTGTTAGTCCAATACCAGGCCACAACAAGTTTGGACGAAAAACTTGGACAGTTGAATGAAAGGGAAACAACTGAGATATCCTGAAGAGGCATTGCACGTGGAACTAGAACAATCTACCCTGGCGGACAAAATAAAGGGTTCGGTTCGAAATTCCAATCACCTGAAGATGATTATATATGAACAAAGTACCGCGATGGAGTTTTATTTAATTTTTCTAGTAATCGAAAAAGTGTTTTCTTTTCAGGACAGAGCGTGCGTAGAAACTTGTCAAACCGAACTCGGAAATAATTACATCGGTCATACTACAACATGTCTATCGAGACGCCTTACGTTACACCTATCCGGCCACAGCTCCATCAGAACTCATTTAAAAACACACACACACACAAACTTACCAGGAGTCCATCCAGAAATTACTAGTAGAAAATATAGGCATAAAACCTCATCCACATGCAAAAAAAAAAAAAAAAATGGAAGCTTTAAAAACGAAAAAGCCACACAGAATAATTTTAACTACGGCAAATATGGTGTGTTCGAAAAATAAAACATCCCCATACCTCTAGAACCATACACACAACGCATATATCCATTTAAAAAAAAAAAAATGAAACCACCCTTGATAATGGGTAAAATTATGGCCGAAATTGCTTGAAATTACAGAATATTCAGACAGTCTATACAAACCGTGTGTAGAAAAGAAAACTTGTTAGAACACAAAAAGAAATAAAAAGCTTAATCGCAGTACATTGTATGACGTGTTTAGTGAAACATGCATAAATGAGGGTTTGCTGCCTATATACACGATACACACACACACACACACACACATATATATATATATATATATATATATATATATATATTTATAAAATTTATAAAAATAAATGTTATAAAATAACTACAAATATAGCCATTTTGTTTCAACACCCCCCAATGTCTTATCAAGTGATGTTGAATGTAGAATAAATCCTAAATAGTAATTGTTGGTTATTGGAATTTATTCCGTATACAACAATCCTATACTTGTGTGTGTGTGTGTATATGTGTATATATATATATATATATATATATATATATATATTCAAGTGTTATATGGCAATTCCTAACCCGTACCGATGTCATATATATATATATATATATATATACGTTATCTACTGATATATATATAATATATATATATATATATATATATATATATATATGTGTGTGTGTGTGTGCAGATAGCGTATATGACGTTGGAACGTGAGAGAAATTTCTAAGCTTTATTCAAATTTCCTTCGATTCTGTATCATTTGTTTTGTGCTATTTGCCTTAACAGTTCATAAATGCATCATTCTCCAGCTCTGGATTAAATTTCAGTGTAAACTGACTTCTCCTGACTTGAGTTGCACTAAATCATGGAAAAGGAAAACTCAGTAAAAAATTCACTACACCATATGTTCCACCATTAGCTATGTGTATAGCTAATTTTATTCAGTGTCTTACCGCTCTAAACAAATTTTCGAATACAAACGAAACTTGCTGCCCCTTTATTCCCACGAATAATCACCAACTATTGCTTTAGAGGAAGACAGAATGATGACATATTATGTTAAATAAAAAAGACGCATTGACTGGATAGTTTCACTAAGAATTTTTAACAGGCAAATGTTAAATTTACAAAACAGAATTCTTTCATTTTTTTTAATGTATTTTCTAGTAGAACATCTTTGTGTCGCCTGTGAAAAGAGAAGAAAACAGTTTGCTTTTTTTAAATCGATATTTCGAAAAATAAACTCTTGCACTTTTTTTGTTATTACATATTAGATTTAAAATTTAAAAAAAGAGAGAAAATGCATGGAAAATGCTTCCAAGAATATACGATGGTTTATTTTTTTTTTAAAGTTACACAACCTCATGTAAAGATACAACGAATAATATAGAATACATCTTGTTATTTCTTAACATGTGATCTTAAAACGTAAAAGAATGGGAGACGATGGCAACAGTATAGAAGGAACCTTTCATTTGAATGAATCTATCGAATACAATTTCAAGGATTTTTTTTAATACAAAAGTTGGAAGAAAACAGTTATTGAATATTATTTTAGCTGTTACTTTTAAATGATTATCATTAGGTCTATAAAACCAAAGAATTGAGTTCAAATATTTAATGTAGCTGCTTCACCTTACACTTCTTTTAAACAAAGAAAAGAAAGCTAAACTGCTTTACCAACCCTATTTTTCTATATGGCACTGAATGCTGGATAATTTCCTTACACATGAAGAAGAAATTGAAGCAACAGTTTGAGCTCTCTCCTTTGTTGACAAACATTCATTCTGTTTTGTTGTATAGCCGTATTTTGAGAAGACCATAGACTAAATAGAGAGGATATACTACTGAAAATCGTAACGAGTACATAAAATCAATATATACAGTAGCAATTTCTGTGAGGTCAATATGAAGGAAGTGAGCTGGGAATATATGAAACTCTCATTTTCCAAGAAGTATCAGATGGGAAACAACGAGTAACCTACCTAATTTCTGTTCGTGAACCAGTGGCAGATTGCGTACAAAGAGGGACTATAAAGAGTCAAGAGCTTCTGTGAGCTACAACATTCTCTTGCACACGGCTTAAAAAAAAAAGAATATTCCGAATAGTTATTTATACCGTTAGATTCTAGAAGTCATATTTCGCTAACTCGCTGCATTCTCAGATCTCTTAATTCGAGTTTTTTTGTTATCTGGCATTAGAGTTTCTGTCAGAGGAACCGATTTACTTCTCTTATAAAAGACGCTGAAAATACAATTGGGTTACTTCCCCTGTCTTGGAAGTCGAGCGATGCTTTTCTGAATTCAACATGTGGTCAAGCTGACACGCATTTGGAAATCATGGTTTAAATCCAAACAAATCCTTGCTGTTCTCAAACATTGAATGAATAAAATCTCTTTTATTGTATGTTAAAAACACACTTATCTTTTATTTTCATTCGTTTTTTTCACCCCAACAACCTGGAATTTAACAGTATTGAAATTTTTAAATTAGTGTACCTGTCTCATGCTGCTGATGTCATGCTCTCACATTTAGCTACCTCTCTTACTAACGACAATACGAGGTTTGGTCAAAATGTATCAGGACCGGTGCAATAAAAATAAAACGACAACGTATATCCATTCGGAATTTAATCTCCTTCGAAGTTGTCTCCTCCTGAATTCACACACTTTAGCCAGCATTGTTTACATTGATGAAAGCATTTCTGGAATCCCTTTGCTGGGATAGCGACCAGCTGCCTCGTCAGATTCTGTCAGATTTCCTCGACGTCTTGAAATCTTCAAGTAGGATTTGGTTTTTGAAAAGAGCAAAGTCGCAAGGACCATAGTTTAGGGAATATGATGGTTATTGGACCTGGAGGATGTCCTTGGCCAAAACCTGCTGCGCAAGACATGATCAAGGATGAAATATCATTTGCGTTACCAGACGAATCCAATGTACACACATTCATTGCAAGCACTGCTATAACTAACTGAAGAGAGCGAGGATTTTATAACTTAACATTTATGCGCGACAGAGTTCAAGGTTAGTCTGTATCAAGCGACTTCACCCTGTGGAATTTGGGCTCGTTTACCATAGCAACGCTCCCGATATATATATATATATATATATATAATCAAACCTCGTACATTCTATGTTGTATAGTTCATTATTTACGCATTCCATATCATCCGCCTTTGAATATGAAGATTATGAGCACCAATAATAAATCCATGGACATTTTCTAGTCTCTTAGGATCCTTGATTTTGTATAGGCGAAATTTCAACATTCTTGATATGTCTGAGCTCTCTTCTTTGAATTCATCCTCTCTTCTTTGAATTCATCCTCTCTTCTTTGAATTCATCCTCTCTTCTTACAGTTAATGCTGACCTCTTGCTTTTTTTTATTATTTCGTATTAATTCCAGATATTTTTCCGAATCAGCTATTAAAAAAAACGTGGAATCTGGCTGTCATTTATATTTAAAATTATGTCCATTAATACTAAATCCTATTTCCTCTCGTTTTCTTAAGATCGTTTTGATGTCTAGGTCATATAAATCCGGTGAGAAAATGCATCGTGGTTTATACTTTGAATGATTGATTAATAATATCTTTACAGCTTATCATGATTTTTAGTGTTAGTTAAAGCCGAAATACATTCTTCCATTGTCAGAATGTATAGGCGATTATCATTTAGTGATAGAAATCCTACTAATTTACCCATCGATGGAATAGCTTAATTAATGTATTTCTCATTGGAATTTGCACGTAAATAAATATAAGGCGCCAAACTGGAATTGAAACTCTATCTACACATCTAAGCTTATGCTCATTGGTATTCTCAAGCGGTTAACCATCTAGGTTCTGACCAGGATCGACGTTGCTTAATTTCAGAGATCGTACGGGAACCGATGTATCGACATGATATGGCCGTAAGCGACGGTATTTTTTGTAAATGATAGAAAATGCCTTGTCAGTGATGAAGAATAAGGTTGACGTTACTAGTAAAATTTTCCTATTAAACAGGATCGTCATGTGCCTTAATTTCTCTCTTCCATTGAACATTAATGTTATTTTCTAAGCATAGCTTTTATGTGGCACAAGGCCGAAAGTATGGGACACCTAGTGAGGATCGAACTCACTTTTCAGTCGTAACTGATCTAGCGAGACAAGCTTGCT